TTTGCTAATGGCCCATCAATTAGAAGCTGGAGAGCTCTGAGCTCCTTCCTCTTCTCCCTTATCACCTACTGCCCGTTTGGTGTCATTGTGTGCTTTGTTCATCAATTTGCCTTTTCCTTTGTCCTTTCCTTGGAAAGGAAAATGGACGCGATGTGAGCCTTAGAGAACCAGACACTTTCACCTTTCACTTGCCCTGACTGTGGCCTCTGCTGGTCTTGCTGAGCCCAAGGAATTCCTGAAGTTTTTGAAAGGCTCCTGTCCCTAAAGGAAATGGGGTCTGTAGAGCAAATCTCTGGAGGGAAACCTCATGTGGTGCTCAGTCTTAGAAGTGTCTCGCTCCAGTATTTGTAGCTCTGCTAAATCCTGGCATTTGTTCTTCTGGATGCTTGGGAGGTTACTAGCATGAAGGGAAAGGGGCCAGGCATTTTCTGGGGGAAGATGGGTATGAGCGAGCCCTTCGATGATATCAAATGCTCCTGTATGCTAACGGATTTATTATTTTCCCTCCCAGATGTTCTGTTATTTCAGGAATGTGCTGAATACACATCCAAGGGCGTTTGTGGGCATCAGCGGATAAGAACAAAATGTAGAGAAGTGAATTCCACCCTCAGGTGGGATTGGAAGTTCATCTTCCTTACCCATCCGGGTGAGAATTGTTCTTCTTATTCATCTGGCAGTATGGAACAGAGACATTTCTGCAGATACAGAGATGGATATTCCTCTGTCACCTCAGACGGTCTCACTGCAAATCCCTCTCATGTCATGAACTCCTGATGCGACAGCACTCCATGAATTAGCCCCTGTGTGCCTGTCAGTGCAGTTGCTTGGTCAGCTCCCAGCCCAGTGCTGTCAAGGAGCATCTCTTTGCTTCGCGAAGCGGGCTGAGAGCAGCAGCAGCCGAGGCCGGAGGGCGAGAGGCGCCGGCAGAGGCGCAGCCCGCAGCAGTTTGGTGCCGGGCAGAGGCGGGCTGGGGAGCGCGGGGAGGCCGGGCTGTGTGTGGCGAGTGTGCAGCGCAGCTGCAGGCGGGTTGTGAGGGGCGCTGGGGCCGTGCGGGGCTGTGCGGTGCCGGTGCGTGCGGGCTCGGGGCAGAGGAAGGAGCTGCGGAGCCCCGGGAGCCCGGGGGGCGGAGCGGCAGCGCCCCCTGCTGGCCCCGGCCGGCCCCGCCCGCGGCGGTTCGTGCCCGGCCGCAGCCCCGGCTCCTCTGCCCGTGGCCCCCAGCGCGCAGTAATACACGGCCGCGTCCCCGCGCCGGGGCCGGCCGAGCCACAGCGGGCTGGATCGCCCGTCCTCCGACACAGTCACCTGTCCTGCAATGGCCGGCACAGCCTTGGAGCCTCTGGCAGTGAAGGCCAGGAGTTCGGGGCCTTTGTCCAGGAGCTGTTGGTACCAGTAGATGGTTTCTCCCAGCCGTCTTTTGGGGTGTGAGCAGGTGATGTTGATACCGATGCCCTCGGTGGTCTGTAGTGACGGCTCCTGCTGTACCTGGGCTCTGGCCACAGCCACTGTTATGGAGAAAAGACCAATCACTTTCCGTCCGCAGCAAATGTCGTGCACTTGAAATGGGAAGAGGGCAGAGAAGGACAGATCACAGCTAGCTGGCCTATTCTGGGTTAAAAAGGATGGAGAGACTGCTTCTCTGAGAGTAGTTACTTGGAAATTGGATTGCGGAAGATTGTGGAGAAGTGTCAGACTGCAGAAGGGGAGATTGGAATGAAGGGAAGAGATTGGCTGAAATGAATGGATGGGTGGATGATTGAATGAATCAATGAATGACTAAGGAAATACAGCAGTAGAGCAGAGCAAGCTGGGCGAGAAGTGATTCATTGAGTAGAGGAGGAATGATGGCAGTGAGTGAAAAAGAATCAAAGTACGGGGAATGACAGAGACAAATGGCGAGACCAATGCTCATCCCAGACAGACCCAGTCCCAGCCCCTGCCTCCGCCACCTCCGCCGTCACCCCCACACACCGAGGAGCAGCGCGGCCAGCGCCGCCAGCCCCGCGCCCCGACACCGCCGCATGCCGCCGCTCCGCCGGCCGAGCCTCGCTGTGCCCCTGAGCCCCGGCTCTGCTGCGGCCGTGCCGCCTCCTCTCCGCCGCCGATGCCAGCTCCGCCCCGGGCCCCGCCTCAGCCGCCGCCTCTCCCGGCACCAGCGCAAGGAGCGGCACAAGGACCTTTGCCACGGCCAGGGACAAGGGACAGCTGTGTCCCATCGCACACAGCAGCGACAGCGCATGGGAAGCAGATCCAGCCTGCACACAGCTGCAGCGGGCAGCTGCCGGCCCCACTCAGCTGCACTCGGGCTCTGGGTGAGCCTGGGAAGCTGCTGCTCTGTGCTGGGCAGGGCCAGGGCAGTGCTCGCTGTCCCTGGCATGCTCAGGAAATTCCCTCCCGATGAGGGACACACACGGACAGACACAGGGCCGTGCTCTCCAGTGTGCAGCCACAGACAAATCCGTGCTTCAC